CAGACGGATGGCTCTGCAGCAGCAGACGTCCAAGAGCGATACAACAGCACCTCAACCGTCAATTGCCTAATCGAGTGCTCGAATTCGATTTCCGATCTGAATTTTGCGGAAAAATGTCAGTATTTTCAGTGTTTTGACAATGCAAAATTTAGTTTTCAGTTAAATTTATCACTTACTTGCTGATTCGTTGTAAAGGTTATTGCAAAATTATGGGATTAGGTTATTACGAATTATCGTGAGGTGCTTTTATAGAAATTATCTTATGGGCGGTTGAAATTTTGAGTGGAACAGGAATTTGAGATAATTTGATTGAGAAGAATGATGTGGATACCACCTGTGGGATATTTTGATGCGAAATTTCCGTGGAGACTTCGTAAGTGATAAATTTGATTGCAATTACAGACGACTGTAATATTATTTATTAGGTTTTGTAGAATATCATTATAATGTTGATACTGTTATTATGATGACAATTATAAATATGATGCAGATTTGTGTGTGTATGTTTATGGTTGATAACAGACGAGATATGGCTATATTATAAGTAAACGGAATGACATTGTTTCGTGGTACATTTGGCGTGCAAATTTTTATTTTATTAGTTGATCATTATTGTTGTTTTGTGAATATATGAATATACATTTGTATTACATCAATAGTGAAGAAAGGAATAAATAAGATTTGATTTTAGAAACTGTTTGGAATTACAGTTTATAAGACTGAGTCGATACTAACGACATGTTACGAAGAGATAATGCCTCTGCAGTTGGTATTCAATATCTGATCTCCCCGTTAAGCAGTCATCTGAAAGGGATAGGGTGAGGCGAGATCTTGGAAGAGTGAGATTAAAATTTGGAAAGTGGAGATTTTTGAAGTTTTGCGAGAAGTTAATTTTGTATTCGTTCTTGCTTCAATGGAACCGAGGAGACGAATGCATGGAGTCGGGGAGGGATGCTTTTGTTGCTTGCACAATCGAGGAATTGGTTGTTTGGATAAAATGAAGAGAATTTTGATATGAATTTGTGACAGATCAGAAATGAAACCAATGAGATTCAAACGCAAACGACCCTATGGATCAGCGAATTCTGATCGAGGAACGGATTATTCGGATCGGAACAAAACGATTCTGAATCGGAAACGACGCAGATTCGAGCAGAAACGTGACCGGAAGGCAAATACTCAAAGCGTCGAGAGTGTCATTGCAAAATATGAGACCTTTATGAAGGTATTGAAAAGTTGCTTGTTGTAGAAAATAATATTATAAAACTCAATTGATTGTTGTGATTGCTGAGTGGGAGCATTTGAGTGTTAAATTACTGTTCGTCTGTTAACGTTTATTAATTGAATTAAACACCGACGATCTTCGCCTCGTCCTAAATACGATACGGGAAATATGAGGGAGATTTGACTGTGGTGGTTTTATCGGAAATAAGAAATTTTTGAGAGGTTTATAACTCTTTCACAATGAATGTTGATAAAATGAAAAATTTGTTAAGAGGATTTTCTACAAGCAAATTGGCAAATTTCAGGAAGATGTATCAAAATTTGAGAAATTCGACGACTTTCCACTCTCCACTCAAACTCAGAATGGCTTAAGTGAGGCCGATTTTGTGAAACCGACTGAAATCCAACGTGACTCTTTGCAATACTCATTGACCGGTGTTGACGTGGTGGGTGCAGCGAAAACCGGAAGCGGAAAAACACTGGCGTTGCTGATTCCGGTCGGTTGAAATCTCATCTCGTCGATTGCTTGCGAAAAATTTCATTTGCCATCGTGAAAAATTTTTGGAAACATTTGCGGAGAAACTGTGGAAATTTATAAGAATCTTGGAAAGAATGAGAGAATTTTTGTGATTTTGTAATTGAAAAAGAGAGAAGTGTGTAAAGAATTGATTGGTGAATAAAATTTGAGTTGTTGGAATGTTTATGGCGACAGCGATGGTCACGCAATACGGATGGTTTGGGTGCTCTGGTGATAAGTCCAACCCGTGAGTTGGCCTATCAAACGTTCAACGTTCTCAATAAAATCGGCAAATATCACAATTTCAGTGCTGCACTTCTCATTGGTGGTGAGAAATTTCA